CTCATTATTTTTGTATCGAGTTAATATCTATATATCTGTTAATTATGTAAAGTTTCTTTTTAAAATATAATTGTTGGAACTACTAAACTAATATCGTTCATTTTTCGACTTCCACCTCAGTGTAGTGATATTTTTTCTCAAACGTCCTACCTACCTTACTGGATAAGGATCCCGGTACGAACCTTGGAATTAATGTGGTGGCAATTCCCCCACAACTTCACCGGATATTATAAAATTTGGTACATTCTGTTTTACACTTTACAAGGGCGAATAGGGCGAACCGAAGGGCGACAGAAACTTTTTGCCCAGACGCGAATAATACTTAAATTTAACCAAGTTTTAGTATTTTATAATATTGCTCGAATGATTTAGAAAGATTAAATTTAATTCACTTTTAGTCGGATGTGTCAGATTTACTCTAAAATTGTAACTTATATATGAAGTCGATATTAGAGGTATTGTTTCTGCTGAATTTAATTCAAAATCATCTACTTTAATCCACAAATTGTTGTTATGAGTCTGGGTGTTCTTTGTGTAGGTTTCATGTATGTTTGTAAAGTCCCCCGCGACACAGGATATATTCCTAGTGCGGGAGTTGTCTTTTTATAAAAAAACAAAAAAAAAAGAAAAATTAAATTAAACAGATTAATCAGTCGTAAACTTATCTTATTTCGATGTACTACAAAAAATAGTCCAAAGAACAAAAGGGTCACCTTTTTTTTGATAGTATATCTTGACACATCAAACACACGGCCGTCTGATTCCAAACCAAGCGGAGCCTGTACTATGGTAATCAGACTGCTGATAAGTATCCTTAAATAATTGGAAATACAAACATATTTAGCTAATTTACACACAGACACCGAACGCCTGATCGTGCTCCTCACACAGCTATTTGTCCTAAGCGGGAATTGAACCCACAACCTCTTACTTAGAACTCAAGAGCATTAACTACTAAACTAACAGGCCAGTCAAAGTTTTCCTTCGTTTAGAACTATTTAAATGATACTAAAACCTCCGTAGGCCTAATTTTCTTAATCTGTTCATTGTATTAAATGTTTTACAAATATATACTCGTAACTTCAATTGAAAACTGCTAGGCAGCTCACAGTAATCTCCTTCATTAATCAAATCAACTGAACCCATTTACCCCAACTCTCTCTGTTGAAATTTATTTTATTTTCAAATTTCATTTGAAATGGATAAAGTCGATATTGTTTGACAATTGTTGACCAAAAACGGCTTAGTTGATGTTTAAATTGTCACTTTTCGTTTTTTATAAAAAAAAATATAAACTCGATCTCATAATAATTAAAATATAAATTATTTTCTATTATAGCCATTATTTATGAAGCCATATTCTTTGCCGACGAAAATGAGTGTGCCATCTTCAATTGGTGATAGTTTTATTTTAAAAAATAACTCTTCTGGAATCCCTTGGTAGTTAGTCTGTCTGGTAAAATCCTATATCTCAGAGACGACACGATGAAATCTTAAGAATTCTAATTATTGTCCTTGTACGGTTTACGTACACTTAGGCAAATACAATATTATTTAGCTGATTACGTAAATCGGTCGATTTCTTTCCGTCCGTCGTAATAATTAATTTGACTCACTGTGCGCTTTAACTTCGTAACGTTCACTCCATTGTAAGAATCACTTTATATCATTTTACGTAACTTGTGAACAATAAACTTTGGAAAACTACGTGAAGAGTTTCCTCTCACCATCACACTCACACCTAAACTTCCAAACTAATAGTAGTGTACGGTTCACGACGGTTCCTAAAAGCTTCATTTTCTTATCAACCCATACTTCCATACTTAAATTATAAATATGAGAGTGAGTTAGTTTGTTACACTTTCACGCCTAAACCACTAAAACGATTTTAAAAATTATTTCACAGATAGAATGTTACATTGTTAGCGAGTAACATAGGCTACTTTTTACAAAAAAGCTAGCACGGTATAAATTAGAATATCAAAACCAAATGCGAGAAGCTAAATTTCATACAGCAAGAGAAGAAGATAATGAACAATCATTAGTTGTGACACAATAGAACCTAGTAGTCACCTTGATTGTTGAACCTTGTTTATGACTAGGGATAAAATTCCTTTGAGTTGTGTCTCTACTGCAATACACGGTTTAGGCAAACCAAACTTCGCATCTGAATTTTCAATCTGTCTTTAGCACTGAGTAATACTTCGACACATTGGTATAAACAACTTCACTGGATTTGGAAATAAATGCCACTAATTAGATATACACATTAATCAAATATTTGTTGTTAACGATTTAAAAATTACAATCGTGATAGATTGTTACATAATTTCGAAGTATTACGACACATTATTTGGACTTGGTATTCATAGGTTTGTGTTTAAATCCGTTTCTTGTATAGTAAAGTGACAACGTTAAGAAACTGAGCGTCAAAGTTATCATTCGCTGCGTTATTAACGTGAATTTATACCTAATCATGAGTCTGTAATACACTTATTAAACTTTTACGTATAAACTAGAAAAACTCCTACCCAAATATTATTTCGGTCCACCAATCCACACATAAAATTCACCGAAACATCAAACTTCTAAATTGAACCTCATAACTTCATTAAAAGTTTGCATCCGTGAAATAAGTAATGCCTGTCCGAAATTAAATTTTTGACTAATCATAATGTTCTGCTTGTATGTTTAAGAGGGCGTATTTGGCGCACGCTTTAAAATTAAAAGCCAATTTTCTGTTGGGACTAATCCCACCCACACGCCCACCACTGTAACTCCTGTACACCAAGATCCACAACAGCGACCCACGAACACACCGAGTTATGACACTCGGGAAGTCCCGGAAGTCCAATTTTCTGTTAAGCAAAATCCCTCCTATAGATTGACATGGTTTCGTAAAAACCAACTGAATAAAATGTAGAAAATTGAATTATTTTCTTTCATCCCCGCGGGCACAAGATAAGTAGTAACAATATTTTTTTGTCTTTGTTAGTGCGTGTTGTTTAATACTTTCTGTGGCATTTATTGTGTGCGCAAACGTCAAAAGAAATCTTAATGCAGAGCTGTATATAGACTGAATTTATACTATTGTCAACATTTGAACCACATTTGATATAAAAATTGTACTGTTGTAGTAGAATTTATGGCGGCTATTTCACGGAACCGTTTTCTTGCTTTTTACGGCCAAAAAAAATTGGATTTTATACCTAAAGTACCTCCCAAATATCAGAAAACGTAACATTCAGATCAATTGGAGTCTTGAAGACTTTTTGAACTCATAATTAGAATTCAAGTTTTCGTGAGAATTACTTAAGAGAGAGTACTTAAAATTGCCTGTTTGTGACCCATTGCAGACGTTCATGGGCGGCGATGGTCACTTTCCATCAGGTGACCCGTCTGCTCGTCTGCCCCCTTTAACATAAAAAAATAAACAACTAAAAACCGGCGTTTTAACTTTTACTTTTGTCTAACTCACAATTAAGACGAATATAACGACACCATGGCTTGGCAAATTCATCACGTCGCTTACACTATAAAGCATGCCGAAGAAATAAAAATACTTCTGGCCTCCAATTGCTAGCGCAGTCTTATAACAAGGGCTTCTAACTAACTGTTTATCTTGAATCAATATGTAAGTCATAGGCCTGACATAATGATGTTGATGAATGCCTAGATTTTGTAATTACCAGTCGTCCCGCAAACATTGACTTGAGGATTATCCTGAGATTAATTCAATTAACTAGCGCTTTACCTAATATAATATATCAATTAATTAATCCAGCTTAATTATTAATCGAATTAGGGTATTACATGATGTGTTAGATAACACTGACCAGCAACTGAACGTGGAATGCTATTGTAATATGGAAAACCTTACTATGATATACATAAATTATTCGAATGTGAAATTTCAGTTTTCCATTTGAATTTCATTACAAATGGAAAGGTAAATAATTTAAAAATGTTATAAATTCAGTCTTCAGTCTATCGGTCTTTTAAACTTTCGCGTTACATGATAATATTATATATATATAATTACTTATATTATATTATAATATAATTATATTATATTATAATTACTTTTAAATAACAAATATCCGTATCAAGGTTGTCTGGAAGAGATCGCCGTGAGCGATAAGACCGCCGATTGTTACGTCTATATATTTGTAATGTCTTATGTGCTAATTCTAAACAATAAAGATATAAATAAATAAATAAAATTATGTATTCCTAGGGAAGTAAGCATGATCACGTAACATGTATTTAATGCCCGTATATATATACACTATTTAGTTCCAGGTTAATTGTTTTGAGAACTTAAGATTACTCATCCTTTTAAAATATCTGAAATAAAGTTTACGCAGGAGCACACTGCCTTGCATTCTTAGTTTTCTAAAAGAGCTTGTGATTACACCAAGTGACTATCTGGTCATCTATAGTAAGCCAACTTACATTACATAGTAACAGGAATAGTATCAGTTGTTTTCGACAGCAGGATAAGCTAAAATGAAGCAGTAAGAATATATAAATATACAAACAACGAAACTATGCAACAATCACCGTTATAATACTTACACTTACTTTAAGGTATAGAAAGAGGCTTATTAAACTCAACAATTTAGGAACTATAAATTTAGGACTTCTTACAAAATATAAAGGAAGCAACACTTTGCAATCTCGTTTAATCGGACACTTAAGGAATTAGATGTGAAAATCGGCAGAATATTTCATCATTCATGAATTTTAGAATATTTTATCATGATCATCATGGACAACCTTTAATAGTTTACTGCTTGACATAGGCCTCTCCTTAGAAAGGAGGTTTTGGACTACTATATCATGCTGGCAAGATGGGTTGGAATAGGGTTTGTGTCAAGTTTTCTTTCTCTTTGCTGCTGTCTTGCGTAGTTTAGTCCCTTATTCGGCTTTTACGACACCCATGGGATAAATGTTTAGTGTTAAATATTTTATCGTTTTAATACCACTGTCTCTTCCAGTACTTCCGGACCCTCAATACACGGGTTTCTCTCGTCTACATCGAGTCCTGGCAGTCAGCTGACCAAGCTGACATCGACCGCAAGCAAGACATCTCAAGGGCTATCCACAAGTTCAGTGACTACACCGCCAGGAAGCTGTTCAAGATCGAGAAAGATACCACACAGTTACTAACGTGAGTAGAATTAATCACAGATAAAATGTACTAACATTTTATCCAGGGCTATGGATGTCAAAACCACGTCTTTACTCTCACTATCTTTAGATAACTGGCTGCAACACCACAGCCTAGATGGCGTGAACCATTAACTATAAATTTAATTAACTAATTTGCATGAATTTATTCCAATAAGTGATTTCATTACAACTTAGACAACTTAACCATAATTTAATTTGAGGTAAAATATAGTAGTGGGTGGAGTATTGGTTGTGACAGATCACTTTACTAGGAATGTCTTTGCTATCATTCGGTTTTATCATGATACTAGACACAATTCAAAATATACATACTATATTCTGAGCTATCAAAGCGTTCACCGCACTTCAAAATAAATTCTATCAGGAATATATTCTATCTCACTGGAAATGCTGCAAAACTTTCTTTGACTATTTTCACCACTTTAATACACCTTACATTGCATTTTATTAAAACGTCCTTCCTACTTGCATTTTGTGAAGTAACATAAATGTTTCAGAAAAGACGTCGCTCGTCTCACAAATCAGCTTACACAACCCTTTTCACTTTGAACCGACTAAATTGCTAGATAGACAAGTTGCCAATGTGCTAAACAGCTCGAAATTAATCTCGAAAACGAACCGAGGTCGAGAATTAATTCAAGCGATAAACGAATTCGTCGAAAAGCGTCACAAGAAACAACCTCAGCTCTAAATTCAACCATAAATCCCATATTCTTAAGTCTATATTTCAACGTAAATACATCTTACAAATATACCATCAGATATTATCGCTCTAATTTTACGAATTACTTGGATCTGCGATAATGCTTTTGACAGGCTGTTATCATGTCATAACTCAGGCGTCAGCTGCAGGTCTACATGCCAATATCTTCGAAACATTACTGTGTCTATTCCCTTTCGATCGGCAAAGGGCCTTGTCGCCTGAATGATTGATGTCTATCAAATATTTACGAGTGCCTCTATCCTAAAATAGCGGGAATCCTTTGGGAAAGAATGCCGGCTTGGAGTGACAACCAAACAATACGATCATGGCATTTATTGGCATCAGTTATTTTAGGTTATCGACCAAATTTACATATTCATCTTGAGTTATGTTCGTATGAGCGAGGGTTTGGGAATAATAGGAAAGTATATACGCTGAATTATATGTAGAATGAAACCGATTGATTTTATTTTATAATAAAAGTAAATTTTAATCATTTTGACATCTACTACTACTAAACTAGGTATATGGCAGAGGCCAAATCAACAAAATTAGTGCTTGATTTTGTTGATTTGGCCTCTGCCATTTTGATTACATTAAAAGTAATTTACAGTTTTTTTTTACACCTTGCTTAACTCACACCATATGTTCCTGGTCCCAACACCACCACAGCCTAAACCATGCCAACCAGACTGCTAATGAGCATGCTTATATATTTCTTAATACATACACATTATAGATAAACTACACTCAGATATTATTTTTTAGCTGTGGGAATCGAATCCACGATCCACGAATCTAGCTCATCATATCAAATCAATTTATCTAACAGCTGGACCAAAAAAAGCAATTGTTGCAGTGTCCTCAAATTTTAAAGATAATTAATAAAATCAATTGTTGTGGCTACAGAAGGACAGACAACACAACCTCCATTTATTTTCAAGATTAATCTTAACCAGTATTTCAACAGTCTACCATTCCTAAATACTAAGAAAACGGAATTGAAAATCAGATAAAACCAAATTAATGTTATTATTTTTGTATTTGACGAAGGCCAGTAGGGTCAAACACAAACAGGAATAATAAAATAATAGTACGTACGTAGTTAAACTAAATAAACGGACCTATATAAGGTTCCGCCCGCGGCATCGACAAATACAAGAAATTTATCTAATTTCTCTTCCGTATGTAGGGATTGACCTTCGGACTAATTGAATCCAAAACCTTAGACATGAACCAAAATATTCGATGTGATATTTTTTTTATTTTACTGAGAACCAACTATTTTTATAAGTAAAATAATTTTATTGATAGTCGAGACTCATAGAAAGCTGATAGCATGTACCTTAACATATTAAAAAAAGAAAAAGAATCATTTTTCATTATCTTTAGCCCACTCTTTTTCCCAAAAGTCAACTGTGTAATACTTGTGCAACTCGCTTGTGATTCCTAATTTCCAGACGTTCAGGGACGGCTTACGGACGGTAGTCACTTTCCATCAGTTGAACCGTCTGTGTGTTTGTTGTCTATGATAAAAAATATGATGCTAATTTTTCTCGGGAATTTAATTGCTTTGATTCACGTTCGACTGCACGGATGGCGAAGTGGTTTAAGCGGTCATCTCGCCGCTTACTACTGCGCTGTTGTGGGTTCCATGCCCACATGGGACAACACTTTGTGTGATCCACAAATTGTTGTTCTGAGTCTGGGTGTCCTTTGTGTCCGTTTCAAGTATGTTTGTAAAGTCCCCCGCGACACAGGATTTATTCCTAATGCGGGCGTTGTCTTTTTATATTAAAAAAAAAAATAAAAAAATTGTGTGATAAGCTGATGATTTGTTCTGTGTCTGAGTGTAGTTTATCTATAATCAGTCACCTTTTTTTTTTTTTTCTTTCCGTGCGGAAATCCCCTCGGATACCACCTGTCGGTGGCATGTCGGACTCAAACCGACTAAAACCGCACGCCGTCTCGGGTACTAATAGCCGGGGAACCAGGTATACCCTAAAAAGGAAGTCTTTACAGTCCCCTGCAAGACAAGATTTATCCTAGTGCGGGAGTTGTCTTTTAAATACATATTAAAAGAAATTCAGTTGAGGAAAATACTTACCTTGAAAACAGGTAAAAAATATCGAATTATCGAGTTGAATCCTTTTTGAAGCGAGTTAAAATCGATTTTGCAATGTACTGTACTGAACTGTGTTATCTGCAGTTCAAAAATATACGTTCGATCTTACATTGCTACTTCAGTAAAAGATTAGCATTGCAGTCTGCATAAAAAACATTCAATGGATTTAACTCATAAAACTCATAAAATTAATTAAAAGCTCTCGTCGTGTTATTTCGTTTTTATTTAGCTTTAAGAGAAATTTGTTCGTGAAATAAACTTCAAATAAACATTTTGAATGGAACTAATGAAGCTTAAAACTACGGCAAAGCGCGCATTTAAGTTTCATGAAAATCGAAAACTGCTTGGGCTATCTAAATGATTTGAAACTCATACCAATTATTAGTTTCTGCTTTAATGGATGAATTGATTTGAACCATTGCTTGGCTTTAGACTGTGATAAAGTAAGTTAGAATTTGGAATTTAATTATGAGTAAAGGACAATTCTTTTCTACTTTCAAATTATTATTAATATTCATATTATAAGCACAAAGTTCCGTGTGGTGACGGATTAAGAATACATAGTGTCACCACCCCTATTCATCCCGTGAGTATGTAAGAGCCGACTAAAGGAGCAAACTACGCAGGACAACAGCACTGCAGAGAGAAGGCAAACTTAACACAAACCCTATACCAACCCGTCTGGCCAGCGTGGTATAGTAGGCCAAAACCTCTTTTCTAAGGAGAGGCCTAAGACCAGCAGTGGACTGTTAAAGGCTGTTGACGATGATGATGAAGCACAAAGAGTTGTTTTAGTAAATAACTTGAACTTGATATGTGATGTAAAGGAAGGAAAAGATGAGACTTAATTACTACACTGGGCAAGCTTAGTGATTGAAATACAACTACTGTTGATCAAGTGATATCGAATAATTAAAGTGTCTTACACACTTATTCTGCACATGTCTGTAAGAGACTCTATTAATTCTATATCAATCGATGCTTGAAAATTAACATTAGCTTTAAATACTTACACTACCTGAGTTTGTACAATTCCTTTAAAAGTTATGACCAGTTCAATTTTCATAATATAAGTATTGTCATACTATAGTTTTTCACAAAAACAGGTAAACTGTGTAAAGTTAAAAATTCTAAAAAAAATTTAAAATTGAAACCACAAACCAAACCAAAAACCTATATTAATTATCTAAGGCCCTGTTTTCACTCGGGAACATTTGTCCTAGCAAATCAGTATTATCGCGACGTTATACGCGTCCCCGACTCGCAACATCTACGAGTTGTCTGTCATCTCGATGATAATTAGGCACTGTGGACAACAGAATAATTATGTCAAAAGACTATCCCACGGAGTCACAGACTATAACACGAGAAATTCGGACTAAGTAAATCCAAGTCACGCCCTCGTATTTAACATAGTTTATAGAAAATTAAAACTCAATATTTATTGAATATTCACACTATACTAATTCTATAAGTTATATTCTCATATTTCTCTTCTCGATTCCTCACTGTCAATTGATGTTGTGAGGAATGAATAACGCTATGCCCTAAATTGTACGGCGAAACGTACTGATGCATACGGCACTATCGTTTGTTTCGACATTCATAACCGTTTGACATATATTACAACACTGCTGCTCGACGACACTAGCATTTACTCGCATAAAAAAGTAGTTTTCGATTTATATAAAAAATATATGTAGAAAAGAAAGGTATCGTAATGTTTTTTTATGTCCTTGGCAACTATTCAAGTTTTATGAACATGCATCTAAAGACTTTTGTAAAGAAATGGCATCCTCATACTGTAACAAATTAGTTATCTAAATAATTAGTTGACCTATAGATGTGGCAGAGCCATGCTTGAAATCTCATGGGCTCTACCACACAGAAAACCGGTGTTCAGCACTATTTTCGTTTACTAAGTGAGTGATTATACCCTATCCTGAACCTGGGTGGAGGGACAGTCAAAGGCCGGCAACGCATCACTTGTGTCTCTCTGTTCGTTTACTCTAGGTATCATCATCATCAACAGCCTTTAATAGTTCACTGCTGGAGATAGGGCTCTCCTTAAATAGGAGGTTTTGACCTACTATACCACGCTGGCCAGGCGGGTTGGTAAAGGGTTTGTTTCAAGATTTTCTTCTCTTTG